AAAAATATTTAAAATATGCAAGAAATATTTGCATTGTATAATATATGGGGTGCAAAATGGCAGAAAATATTAAGTAATGAAGATATGCATGTTTGTAATGTTTATCAGCTATCTACAATGTTACACACTATGCAAATGAGCAATTACAATAAATTCTATTCAGTTTTTATTTTTGTTAAAAGAAAATTTACAGTGTGACAGTTCATTCAGGTTAAAAAAAATGCTATAATTACATTAAAATGTATTAAAAATGTGCATCACATAAGTGCATCACAAAAATGAAAATATAGTCAACACTCACAAACACAAAATCCTACTTTATTTATGTAAAAACAACATGTGTCTGTGTTTCTTTTATTCCCGTTCTCTCACTCTGTATCACTACTTGTCATTACACGCTCTTGCCTGGCTTTTGTCCTCATTATGGCTGTTTGCTCATTATGTTCCTGAATCTGGAGTTTCTGCTGCGGGCGAATCAAATATTTAAACTGTCTGCCAAACTTATAGAACATCAGGATCAAACCGACTAAAACTCACGAGTGCTGAAGTAGGTGAACTGTCCGGGCACGCTGGTCCTCTCGTACTGGTACAGCTTACTGACACAACCTAGAGGTCTGAAGCAGATGGAAACCGACTTGAGCCATTTGCCTGTTTCCTCTGTTTCTTCTTCTTCTGTGACTTAGCACACACACTTTTGAACTCAAACTGTACACTCATGTGTTTTCTGTGTGACTCACGTGGCGTCCCACATGGTGAGGTTGACGTTGCCGTTTGTCAGCGGCGTGATCATGCCCATGGAGGCCTTTAGTTTGTCTCTGTAGGGGACGAATCTGGGGGAGTCGTAGGCGAGGCCCACGCGGTACCATTTACCTGCAAACTAAACACAAAAATCATTAGTTTATATACATTTTTCAACAACTGGACACTGTATTTGCTGGAGTAAATAGTGTTTGGGAACTATTTTTGGTCATATATTTGTGCACTGTTGAGTATTTTAGGAAACAAGATAGTGTGTGTGTGAGGTATTAGCTCAAAATAAACTCCTGTTTATCGTATAGAAACATCAGTGAAAGGCTTTTTCTATTTGTACCTGACCACCAGTGTGGACCACAGACTCTCATCTATACATAGCTTCGTTACAACACAGACAGACGAACGAAGGACTGAACAAATACAACTAAATATTAATAAGCCTTTGCCTGCTTTTGCCTATTTTCTTCTCGCTTTAGCTTTTGTAGATAAAGGACAGACATGGGAACCGTTCAGTCAGTCATGTAATATTATTTTTTACCTCACACCAAATTGGCAGGTAGGCAACCTTCTGATAAACATCAGCCACAGAAAACAAATTATCTTCCTTTTTAAGGCCTTTACACTTCACATTCTCCTCTCTTGACCTCTCGTGTGTGAGGTGACCCGGTATACACCCATTCACAAACGTATTAATCATGGAATTTTACTTGATTCCTTGTTTTAGGTCACCAACAACTGTTTGCCAGCTTATCTGTGCACACACACACTCCAGCACACAGTGTTCCCCACGCACGCTGTCGCCTCATAAACAACAAACAACCCAAATCTCCCTTCGCTCAACAAAAATCAAACGGATTTAAAACCCACTCCTACTTGTCACAACACGCGTCTCACCTTCTGCAGGTTGAAATCTCTCTGCGGCTTCACGTCTGCGTGCACCATCATCACGCACAGCATCACCATGGCAACGGCGGTGGTCCTCATGGTCGTGTGAAGGAGCGAGTCGGCGGCGGCGAGGCGAGGTGAAGGAAGACTGGGGGTATCTGACCTGAGCCTAAAGTGAACTGTGAGCGGTGGACTGACAGGTACGGACTGGCAAAGCCTGTGGCAGTGTTTGCTTTTTCTGCTGATCCACCCACCTGGTCGTCAGCCAATCATTGCTAAGGATCAGGGAACAGAAGCCAAGTGTTGAAGGTGTGCGGCTCCAAAACAAGCCAGACTTAGACTTCTGCAGGAATATACCACGCTCGTGGTTTACTGACATCAGCTGAGATTCATGTGCGGTTCCCACGAGCAAAGATTTCACAAGACCTTGTTCCACAGAAACATACACGAGGAGCAAGAAGTCATGAGGGAGCAGAAGCTTCTGTTTCTGAGCTGTGATGACCACCAATAAATAAATACACCTTAAATTAATATACACAACATTCAAATGTTCCTCCACAGATGGGTTCCCTCTCAGCTTATTCACATTGTCTGGACCTGAAACTGTAAAACTCTTGAGCAAAGATGTTTTTGTGCAACTTTCACCTGAAATGTTTTGGGACTAAACAGATTCTGCTTCCAGTTTACTGCATGAATCTGCTGCTTAATGCTTAAATGACTCTGCAGTGGAAGAACACTGAGCTGGCTTCATCTTAAAAGTTGATAATTGCATATATAAAAAAAAAGAAACTCGCTCAACCGCTTGTCAGATCTGCCACTCATGCCACTGCAAGTAATAACACGTATTCATACACTTGTGGAAAACAGAAGGTTCACAGGTTCATTATGAAACTTCTTTTCAAGTTCCAGTTTTACTTTCCTCGGTTTTATAATCCTTCTCTTAAATAAGAAGAATAATTAACTCATACTGAGAGCGATTTCTGTCAAAGAGAGTCAGCTTCACTGCAACATTGCATGTAGAAAGATATAAAACAACATTTACGTCTGAAGACTAGCTAGTAAACAAGTTTTCAGTAAGTTGTTGTTAAACTGAAATGGATGTTGTGAGCCAGCAGTGAGACGCCTGTGATGAATATACAGCACGCACAAATAATACGTGGTGTTTCATGACACACAAACGTACAATGGAGTCTTTCAAAGGGTCTAATTTAATTTGTTTTCTTTTCCGCAAAAGTCTAAATAGATTGTTAGTCAGAGTAATAAATTATCCTGACTTGATTCAACAAACGTCTTGTGCAGGAAGCTCTGAACACCCAAAATATCGAGTATTTATCTGAAAATTAGATCATTTCTTACTGATTTAAAACAGTAAAACACAACTCGTTTCTCCTGATGTAGCCCCACAGGCTTCCAGATAGACTCAAGAACCTCTTCATCAGCAGCTATTTCAACCATTTATTATCCATCTAGTGTCTTTTAATCGTCCATCTCTTTTGGCTGCTGTTCGTAAACCTGCTCAAGTTCCTCTTTAGTTCCGTTTTAATTTCAGTTTTGCTTCACAGGAGTTAGTCTTCCACATGCAACTCGTGGTTCGTATTTAGAAGCTGGTTTAGAAAGAAAAAAAAAAACAAACCAACATGATGACAAACCACCGTTTAAATGTTACCCAGAAATCCCCTTACAGGAAGGTCAACATGGCCTAAAGTAAACCGCTCAGCACAACGTTGATAAAATGAAGGCGTTTCGGGTAAAACTGCTGGTGAGCAAACGCTTTAAACATTTCAACCCGTGTGGCTTTACAATCAGAGTCCAGGTGAACAATTTAAATAGTTTTGTTTTTATTAATAATAATAATGATTTTTTTTTTCCATTTGCAGCACTGCTTTTATCTCATTTTTCTTGAAATGCATGACATATACAACTAGCCTTCAGCGGACAAGAGGACATCAGTGTGTGTGTCTGGCACACACAGCACACCTCACACACCTCCTCTACACACTCTGCACAGGCAGCAGCCGTCAGCCCGCGCAGCAACACCATCACGTTCAACGAAAACGTTCTCACACATGTAGGCAAACATATATATGAGGAGGAGGGGGAAGAAAAGGACGAACAAAAAGTGCAAAAAGCAGAAGTGTTGATCAGAGGAATGAGAGGACAGTGAGAGACACAGACATGTTGTAGGACGCAGTTCAAACCTCGCTGCGCCCTCACAGCTGACTCACCATTTGTGTTCTGAACAGATTATCTGAACTGATCTCAGTATGAAAGGAAGACTGGCAGCAAATCGACGCCTTTGAGGCTTTCTCACAGATAATGTCCACTTTAGAAGTCTTCAATTGATATCTTAGTAATGAATACACATGTACTGATTAGTATACAATGACCTGGGAAAAGGTAATTAGTTCAGTCACTAATCTACTTTGCTTTACAAATTCAAAACTTGCCAAACAAAATCCAAATTTTAAAATGTGTCTTGTACGATTGAATTTCCTTCAAATACAACCTTTAAGTCTTTTCGATCGTACTCTACAGACCACATGGTAAATGATGGCATGGAAACATGTGCGTGTCTCTCCTTGACTGGCAATATTTATTAACGTGGAAATGGCAAACAGGCTCCGAGCACACATCTACAACCATTTCTTTTTTTTCCCCGAAAAGGCAGATTCCTGGCTAGTTCCTAATGCCTTTCAAAAAAACAAAAAAACACACACAGTAGCAAAAACAGCCATTCGATTGTCTTCCATGAATCCCCCCAAAACCAAAACCACAAAAGCTATGATTTCACACAAAGAAAAAAACACAAAAGCAAACACATGTAGCAGTGGAACAATCAAAGTATAATTAACAGTTTTTCAAAAAATAATAATTTAAACTCATTAAAAAAAAAAAAGAAAAGAAAATGGAAACATCTTCTTCAGAGTGCTCTGCTGTGGGGCTGTTTAGTCACACGCCCCCTGGTGGTCAGGGTTGACGAACCCTCAGTCAGAAGCATCATAACAGCCAGACTGTGTTCCCTTAGATACACAAATCACACTTTACTTCACAACATCATCATCATCATCGTCATCATCATTGGTCGCTCGTTTTTCTTTTTCCGACATTCAAGAGAACATTTCACACTCATCATTAAAGAATAAATACAAGTGAGAGAAAGAGAGACAGAGGAAACAGGAACAAATCTTAGGTCCTGTCAAACGGCTTTGTTGGTCTTTTTTTTCCCCCCAAACGGGGAAAATTACAGCAACTGTGACGGTCGCTGTCAGCAGCCATCAAGGTCAACTGTGTCAGTCAGTGCAACCAATAAACGAAAAAAAAACAAACAATCGGATTAGGAACGAGTCTGCAGAAAACAAAGTGTTGCATCAATAAAACTCTAAAGTCTTCCACAGTACAGCGGCGCAGAGCAAACGCTGGCTGCTCTGCTGTGCTGTAGGAGACTCAAAACGTCGGGGAATGGCAGACTACACACAACACACGTCGGCAAAGGATGCCTGAAAAATGGTTTTGAGCGTACGACCTCCTCAACTATCTCGCGAGCCGACGCACAAGTCAGCAAACTAACTGTGTTCGATAACTGTTTCTGGATCAGGCGAGGCGAAGCAGACGTGGCAGAGACAGCGAAGGATCAAACAGAAGATCGAAGGGGCGCCGCGATCAGAAAGAAGGGAACAGATGGATGAGTGGGAAAAAAAAAAAGGGTTTCGGGTGGTTGGCAGAAATACAATAAAGGCTTAAAGTAAAAAGTGCTGAGCAAAGGGAAGCTTGGGTAACCAGCAAACACACAGCAAATAAGACAAATTAAAGGGAGGACTAAACAAAAAAGAAGAGATTCAGAGGAGATGAAGCAGGAGTGGTGGAGTCTTGGAAAAACAATCACTCATTGCCATTGAGCATAAACTCTCCCTGCACCTGGCAGGACGACGGGGCTGCCATGGATTCCTGGAGGATGATTCTCGGAATAAAATCGGCGACTACGAGCAGGAATTTGGAGCCGGACGAGATAGAAGCTGAGCGAGAAGAGAAAAGATGAAATCCAACATAAGGAGGAGGGGGATCTATGAGACGCTATGTGTGGTCCAGGGCCTGTGAATCTGGGAGGTGAACTCACAGTAAGGCACAGTGCTCTGCTTGTGGTTGATGATGCTCATTCATGCTGCTACAACCTCTGATGACAGCTACTGCGAACGACAGACGATACCGTTAAAGACGAAGCGCGTTTTCTTGTCCTCTGTTTCGATGCATCCCCACCTCCCTTCCCTCCGAGTTCAGAAGCTTTGAATCTTTGGATCGTTCAGCTCTCCTCCCCCCCGAACTTCCGGCAGAACATCCCTCTTTTAGCACCGGATCAAGTTCTCGCTGATCAGGCGTTTTGGCGCCTCTCTCTTCAGTCAAGTGCTCTTCATATGTTTTAGAAGAATATACACACACACACTCCTAAGATAGGCAAAGTCTACCTTCAAGGACAAAACCTGCACAATATGGCCACACGAGCAAACCGCACAGCAGCCGAACGAGCCGCTGTTTCTGTGTTTAGTCCAGGGGTTGAATCAGTCAGATCACGTTTGTGTTCCAGCAGCTGATATAAAACGCATTCTACTTTGAAGGACTCCAAGAGCTGATGAAGATTTGGATACAAATAAAGCAGAAAAAAAGGATTTTACTACAACAATAACAACAACAAAAAGCCTTTACAAGAACATAAATAATCAAGATGTTTATAATTTTTTCCCCTTAAATATGTAAACACTACAACTTAAAAATATTTGGTGTGTTGCTTTTTTTTTTTCTTTAAATCAGCTTTTATGTGTCGCGGCTGATTATTGCACTTCAGACGCCGGAGCCCTATTGCACTTTAGAATCTTTCAGCTTCAACCTCTGGTCTAATTTTTACGTCTGCGTCAAAGGCTTTCCTACTTATGTTGTTCCCTTTCAAAAAAAACAAAGAAAGAAGAGAGTGAAGCGCTTTGATAAACCTCAGACGTCACACAGGGTTCGTCGCTGCTGGCTAATTGTGCAGGTTAAGTCGGCGGTAGAGGCTCCAGTCTTTTACAAAACAATCTCACTAACATGACGATGAACAGAGAGCTTTAGGTCCACGTGGGGTCCCTCTGCCGTCCCGCACGCTTGAATCCGAGTTCCTTTCAAGGTTGTGTTTTCTCTGCAGTTTTTCAAGTTTTTGCATTCTGGATGCTAGGCAGCCTGTTTCCTCCTCCTCATCCCTCGCCAGCGAAAACAACTTGGTCTGACGGACCAGGGGTTGGCGGGTTTTGGGGGGGCGGGTGTTCGAGGGGCTGTGCGGGCAGAGAATGTGTGGCCATGAAGAGTGGTTTCAAGTTACCAAATAGACCTGCTTACTGGGTTTACGCCTCTCTGTTTGCTGAGGTAGCGAGAGGAGCTGCTGAGGAGATGGATGGATGGAGTGGTGCAGTGTGTTTTGTTTCTGAGTGTGCCGTGCATAAGTCTGTTTTTTTTTTTTTTTCATTATCATTTAGGAGTTTTAAAGAGCAAAGTGGTTTTGGGAATACAATATGTATGCGTGTGTGTGTGTGTAAATGTGTTCCAGAGTGTATGGCTCTTACTTTAGATGTGTATAATGGGGACAAAACCTCGCCGCTATCCTGGACGCACATGAATGTCTTCTTTTCTGTATTTGTACGCGTGTGTGTGTGCGTGTCTATGTGAAGATGCAGTGCTCAGCCGGGGGTCATCACAATTTGTTCTTCCCTGACAGTATGGAGCGGTAAAGCTCCTCGTCCAGCTGCACATAGCGCCCTCTGCTGGAATCCAGGAAGTACAGTCTGTCTGACACCGCGGTGGGATCGAAGTTGTCCCGACGCAGGTCCGTCTTCTGAAACTTAAACGTTCCTGAGGAAGAGAGAGACACCCAGTTGAGAAACAGGTTTTTAAAATCTTCTAAATCTTCTCAAGCTGATTTGTAAAACTGTATTCTGAGAGGAAAGCATCTAGTTTATGAGTCAGGTTTGGAAATAAGTTTTTCTTTAAACNGTCTCACTCAGCCAGATGTTGATGTTGATGGAGGGCAATTATCTGTTGGCGAGATAATAAACAGACAATAATCACATAACTAATTCTCATTCTCTATGTACATGTATGTATGTGTGGATTTGTGTTCCTCCTCCTTTACCTGCTGGAGGTGGAGTCAGAATAGACTCTCTGGGGAAACCGCGGGACACGGCGAAGTTTTTAAACTTCTGAATGACTTCATTCTTGACTCGCTGAGCGCGGCCTGCAAACAAGTGTAGAGACACGACGCTGATGAACAGTAATGACTGCAGTGGAGCTACTATGTGCAGCTCGTGTGTTTTGATTTAAGGTAACTGATTTATCTGTGTGTGTGTGTGTCTCACCGTAAAGTGCCACCTGTGTGTACTCTCTGTGGAAAACCTTGTGCTTCAGCACCAAAGCGTACTCGGTGTAGTTCGTGTCCACCACGGTGATGTCCTTCACCATGCTGTCGCCTGAGAGAAAACACAGAAACGAGTGCGTCTAAGATTTGAGAATTTAAGTGATAAAATAATTATTAAAATTAGATTCACATAAAATATAATAATAATAANTGCAGTGAGAACAAATAACAGCAAACAAAGCTGTTTCATTTCTAAATTACTCAAAGGACCTTTATCGTGTTGCTTGGACTGTGAATGATGAATATTTTTGCCTTGCTGGAAGGTAAACAAAAAGAAGAAACTACAAGATAAAAAAATGTTTATGTTTTCCTTTAGACTACAAGAAAAGGAATCAGATTAAATTAAATTTGTTGTAGTTTTATATGAGCTGCTATAAATGCTGCTGAAAGAAACTTGAATGAGACGGGTTTGTTCAAAAGAACATGTCGTACATGTTGTTCCCTAAAAAAAATCTCAATTATTGGACGAAATTATTTTTCTGATTAAAAAACAGTTTGAGAGCAGCTGAGCAGGTTTAAAGCTCAGCCATCCTTCAAAACCAATCAACATGTTTTCAATCTGCACAGCAATAAAAAAAAAAAAAGAAAAAAGTTTGCTTGTGTAAAAATCTCTTGGCTCACTGTTGGACAGGAAGAGCAGTGAAACCTTTACCTGTCTTGTTGACCTCTGGAAGGAAGCGGAGGAAGACCGGCCTGGCGTACGGAGGAAGAGCCTTCTCCATGTCCTTCACAAACTTCTCCAGGTCGGTGGAGTGAGACGGATCAGCGATGGCGGCCATTCCAGCCTTTCCCTCTGCTCCTGTGTGCGCAGAAACGGGCAAGATGGAGGATTAATTCTGGGGAGGTTTAAGGTCAGAAAGAAGCTTGTGTTTTGTGCCATGAAGCACTGTGTAGAGCTCAGAAAAGCTTCGACTTCATAAAGTGGATGTGACCTGATTGACTGTACTTGTGTTATTTAAATACATCCTCTATGCTCCCGTGCAACGCTGATGTCCTCTTTAAACACTGGTGAGCTCGTACCGTCTGCTGTAGTGCCAGTACGTCTTCATCTGTCCGACTCTTTTGTTATTTATCACTGTGCACGGAGAACAAAACTAGTTTCCTCCTTCAGGGGACTAATAAAGCGATCTAATATAATCACAGCGAGTGGAAAGTGGCATCTGTGATTTGTCTTTGGTACCACCGGAGCCTCAACCACAGCGCAGCTTTATATGCGATGGCACTTTAAATTGCCGGAATTGAATTCATGTCACAATAGGTCAAGTGTGAGCCGCGACGCTGCAGCTGTAATAACTAGATTATCAAACAGAGAATGGCTCTTGTCGAACATGCGTTGTTCAGTATACGATCCATCTCTCTCTCTACACACACACACACTGCAGCAATCAGTCAGCTTAAGCTTTCAAGGGTGAATTAATTTAGAAAGAAAATTAAATTAATTCACACATATGAATACACATTTTGACACGAGCTTTACTCGATGCAGATCATCCGGCTAAAGCAGAGGAGGATGAGAAAAAAGGAAGTTCACGCGGGTTCATGCAGTAATGATCTCAAAACACAAAACGGGCTGAGTCATCCGCTCTCCTTGTAGTCGCTGTTTTCACTTGTGCTACAGGAGACCCAGCAGACAAAATGCCAAACATAGAATAACAAGGAGCAGACGAGGACACGGCAGAATTCAAAGCAAAGAGGGCGGGTGTCCAGTCAGAGGGAACGAGATCCGGCGTGTTCGGGATATTTTTGGACACGAATCCAGAAAAAAGAAGCTATTCCATCGATTAGGAGACGTTACCTGGCACTTCCACTCCATAAACGACCACATCTTTCATGTCCAGCAGCCGGCTCAGAGTTCCCTCCACCTCGGTCGTCGAGACGTTCTCTCCTTTCCAGCGGAAAGTGTCTCCCGTTCGATCCTTGAAGTACATGTGGCCGGTCTCGTCCATGATCAGCACGTCACCTGGTGAGGAGGAGTCGAGTCAGTGTTGGTCTGGTCAGAATGGAGTAAGTATATATATGTGTGTGTGTGTGATGATTCTAACCAGATAGATAGGCACTGTCTCCCTTCTTGAAAACGCTATGAGCGATCTTTTTGCTGGTTGCCGATTGGTTGACGTAGCCATCAAACCTACGAAGGGGGTCGTTCTGAATAATCCTGCCAACGAGCTGGCCAGGCTCGCCTAGAGTGAGAGAGAAAGAGAAGAGGTGGGTTAGTTTTGCTCCTCGGGGGTTTCAGAAATGAGTAAAAGGTGCCTGTGCATATCTGTACGTCTACAGTATATTAAAATCACAATACCAATTAAGAGTACAGACAATATACTTAGCTTTAGATCACTTATAAACATGCCGATGTGTGACAAATTAAAGGAAAACCCGAGACTCTGACTGGGGGAGGCATTTTGCTAGCATAGTCTGAGTCCACATGTCTCCTCAGAGGGAAGGATCACTACAAATCAATACACAGTTGTTCTGAATGATCACCTTTATCCTACGGACAACAACACCCCCGTCCACACGGCACAAAGGTTCACTGAACGGTTTGATGAAATAGACGTGAATCACATGCTACGGCTTTCACAATCACCACATCTCAACCCAGTTAAACACCTCCAGAAGATTTCGAACTGGTGGTGCTCGACATCTAACCACCAAATGAGGGAATATCTTTTGGAAGAACGGTGGCGGTGCTCCATCCCTCCAGTAGAGTTTGGAGGATCAACGCCAAGATGCACTGAAGCTGCCCTGGTGGCACGCGATGGTCGAACACCTCACTAAAGACCCCACATGTTGGTTTTTCCTTCATTTGTCTGCATATGATTGAGCCTCAGAGTGAAGAAAACAGCAGCACAATGCAGCAACATTTCAGCGTCTTTGTGGCAGCTCTGCCGACCGGTTTATCTGGTAGTTGACTTGAAAACAACAATAAAGAGTGTAATCCCTCCACTAGAGTTTCACAGACTTGAAGAAAGAATGTCAAAGCTGTAATAGCAGCCTGTGGTGGCGCAACACCTTACAGAGACGCTTCACATTGGGTTTTCCTTTAATTTGTCACCCATCTACATGTACCCTTTTGTATGGGAATACATGAGCAGCGGTGTCTACTCCTGAGGTATTTATTTGGGCTTAACACCACCACTCTGAAACCACGTTTAGACTCATCAGGTATAAAATATGAGCATAGAGTCAACCCACCAGGTTTACAAGGAATGCAGACGCCATCAGGTCCCCTAATGAGCTCCATGGTCTCCTCATCGACCCTCACCAGTCTGATGGGGTAGACGTAGGGCAGAATCTGACTGTTGAAGCCGCACGCTCCAATCTAGACGAAAAGAAAAACCGCAAAAAATCAGGGGGGTGAAGAAAATGAAAAGCAGACCGGCTCCAGTCAGGGCAAAGCAGCAGTTCTGTGAGAAGTTACCAGAACTGAGGAAATGTTAAAAATAGCCATGTAAAATTCTCCTTTTGGTAAAATGACATAATTAAGCAATCTGAAGGATTTGAAATCAGGGTTTTTCATTACAGTGAATTCACACAGTTGGGCCGATACAGAAAATCTACAGAGAGCATCGTCACCGGTTCTTTGCAGGACGTGTTCCCACCTTGTTATCGAAGTTGCCCAGGCTGCAGTTGCACTCCGTGGCTCCGTAGAACTCTGCAATCTGCGGGATGTTGAATCGCTTCATGAACTCCTCCCATATGGACTGACGCAGGCCGTTGCCCAGAGCCATGCGAACCCGATGCCGCTGCTCCGTGTCCCGGATCGGCTGGTTCAGCAGATATCTGCAGATCTCACCGATGTACTGCACGATCTGGAACATGGCGGTGAGGAAAACAATAATGAAGTGATAAAGATAAAAAGATAAAGATAACTTTATTGATCCCACAGTGGGGAAAGTTCACTGTTACAACTGATGAGCTACTTGCTGATTTTATACAAAGTTTGCAACAATAAATAAAAAAGATTAACTGGAACGATAACACCAAATCTTTACATTAACTTGAGATCGTGTTATGCTACTTACAGTGCAGTTGTATTTGACGCAGTCATCCCAGAATCGCGATGCAGAGAACTTCTTTCTGATCACCACAGTCATGCCGTGTATTAAGCACTGACCCACTCCCACAATGTTTCCTGTGGACAAAGAAAACGAAGCTGTGTTACCAGCGTTGACATGAAAATGTAGAAACACATACAATTTTTTTGGGTTGTTGTTGTTTCCTGTTGTGTAGTTTGCTTTCACAGCATTCTCCCACGTTCTGCTTTCTTTGGTTTGGTTGCTGCACCGTGCAACACTTCTCACCACAATGTGACCTTCAGGTACACCACTGATGCTACAGCAGGCTACGCTATGATGGATCGCAGTGGATTGTGACGATGAAGTTACCAATAATAGAACTAAACTTGTTCTTTTTGCTGTAGATTAAATTAAATGAATGTATATGAGATGAGGGGGAAAAAAATGCACACTGCAGGTTCAAAGCTGCTTTATTCAGCTCAGCTCAATGTGACTTTGGTTTGTTTTCTCCTTTGTTTGACTGAACACAGAAATCCTACTCTGTGTGGATCAAATTCTACAGCGGGTTTGTTTTTTTGCGGGAGCTTGAGACGACCTCAGCCTGACTCAGATACGACTATGAACCAACTAAACTGAACGAGTGTGAGCTAAACAGTCCCTCGAGCCAGGTTTGTTTTGCTCCCTGGGATGAGTAAACTCTAGACCAGCTAGCGTACACATGGAGAATGAATAAACGTCTGATGCTAGTTTGTTTAACCCACTAAACCCCAAAATCTGTCAGTGGGTTTGAAAGGCAGGATATCAGTACAAAAAAAGAAAAAGAAAAGCCAAAATGAGATCTTTTATCAGAACCAGAAACTGTAAAAGCAGAGAGAATTCTCACATATCCTGCTTTATTTGTATACTTTACTCTCAATATCTCATTAAAAATAAGGTGTTTGCACATTCAAAAAAAGCAAAAGATTCACTGATCCTCAGCACAACATTGAAGCCAATGATTCAGCTGCAGCCATCAGTCACGGGACAAATATTCAGGGACTTTTCGCTTGGGCTGGGCTTAACTACAAGCTGTGCTTCCACAGAGCAGAGAGGAGAAAAGTATGGCAACAAACTAAAATAGTAAGTAGTACGATATCTATAGTGTGTACAGTCGCTATTATCTCCGGTATTTGTCACGTCTGTGGTCACTTGAAAAAACATCAGAATTGTTTAATCCAGGTTTTTGTAAAATAAATTATTAAATAAATTCAGCTTTTTTTCCTCCTCACTGTTCTTATGATCTATGCAACTGCAACCTTGTTATAATGCACAGAAGATAGCACGACGTTCTCTCTACTTCTAGCCATGGTTGTTCCCATAGAGAGAATTTTATGCTGTAAAAAAGCCCAGAAACTGTTTGGGGTTCAGAGGGTTCATCTATTTCTAGGAAACACAACAAGTTTACCAACTCATACATAGATTCAAGCCACAGCAACCAAACTGTAGATCTGATATCCTTATCTCTAAACAAACATACCTGCAGAGTGGTAGAGTGGAAGGCAGTCATACAATACATCGTCTGACGTCATCCTAAAGCCGTAATACACCAAAGCTGCCATGCGGTAGTACCTGAAAACGGGGGTGATTGGGAGCAGGGGCAAGAGAAAAAAAGTAAAATAAGTAAAAGCAAAAGTAAAAGCAGCAGCTTTTATTTACTTCTCTCTCTCTTATTCTTTTCTAACAGCATTTGTGCTGCACATGAGAGCTACATGGATCAACAAAGAGAGCAGCTGCAGTTCCTGCGTGTTTGTTTGTTAGCTGCACGCCTCCTTCCTACCTGCTGTGCACAACAATAGCAGCTTTAGGCATCCCAGTGGTTCCTGATGTGTAGATGTAGAACAGGCGATCTGAAACAGACGGCACAGCGAGAGTGAGATAACGCACATATGAAGAGAAACGTGTGCTTTGGCTGGTTTCAGCACGTGCCCGACGGCGTGAAAAATGAACGCTATGTTTAAATGCGAAGTTTCGATTGACTGCTTTTTCAATCGTGAATGTTCACTTGTGCAGGAGTGTAACTGCTCGGCTTTGATCCTTAATTACAGGCCTGTTTACAGTTTTGATCTGCGAGCTCATCTGGTCTCAGCGACAGCGCCGGAGTACTGACGCAGAATAAAGCAGAGTCGCTTTTTAAAGACGGCAAAAATTGGGTAATTATGTCCCTCGTTTCCGAAGACGCAGTGTAATATGTAAACAAAGCGGTCTGGCAGTTGGACAGCGAGGTCCTGCATCCTGACATGTGCAAATTAAGAGCAATTACAACGGTTCTTGGCATCACAATGGACCACTTGTGCTTGAATTTTGCCTCCCTTGAAGCTGAAACCATCGATTAACAGAAAAAAAAAAATTGTTTTTAGCTCTGACATACAGCTAGAGAACTGGACTGTAGCAGCTATGTGTTAGCTCAGCTCACGTACACACTTATAAATCCTTTGCTGACTTGTTTGGCATAAGCAAATGAGCTCTGTGGGTGTCGTATGAACAATGCTGACTAAGCAGCCACTTAGCGCTGCGGTTCTCATTTACACACAACACGTTTTTTCAATCACCTCTGAATACGTCCCGACCGGTTTGATCCTGACGCGTTTTGGTTTTAATCTGAGATCTCTACGGAACCATTTAGACATAGCATGAGCAAAGGTGTCTGCTTTTATTGCCACAGCGACCTGCGAGTTATCGGTGAGCAGGTACGAGTTTTTATCTAGTAAGGGCTGAATAAACGCTGGCTCTGTGGATTAAGTTTTGCTTTATCTCGGGATGAAGGGTATTAAACACTACAGAGGTTGTAAAGCACTTTGAGGTACGTTTGTAGTTCTGAGCAGCAGTAAAATAGCTGACATGAGTTGATTTTTAAATATTAATATATATTGTATATTACATTTATTCTCCTTTTAACCCACATATTGTAAATGTGTTCACATTAATGCCATTTAACTATGAACAGACTGGAGGCTAATAATGATTTTCTTACTAACATTTGAACATCATATCGTTAACTAGAACATTTCTTCAGATATTTGGAGTGTCCCAGTGCAGCTTCTGCTGGTCAACATGTCCTGCTATAAATATACATAAGGTATAGTTTATTTAGGTCCTTTTTTTATTTTGAAAAGCCAGCATATGTCACAAACCCTGATCAGGTCCTTTTAACATCTCTGAGCTTTTGCTTTGAAAGTGTCAAATTACAAACCGAAAGAAAATTCTGGATTTTCCAAAAAATTTACAAAACATAAACCGCAACTACATAAAACCGTGAAAGTTAGAAAAACACAGATTTAGATGGAAAACATTCAAAGATTTGTGAACGGTTTAAACTTTGAAAGACGTTTCTACTGTGAAGAATACCAGAGCTACGGGTTTCCAAAGATGGCTGAGTTTTTCAGTTGTACAGCAGACTCCATATTCCTTTTAACACGGATTTTCATGCAGTGTTTTACGAATTTCATAAAAAACATACGATGAATTGCTACCTAAAGTCATAGGACACCATTCCTAATCGAGCTGCATATTTTCATATTTAATCTGTTTGGGTTTTCTCAAAGCTGTGGTATGAGTTAGGCGCCGAAAATTGCTTCTGAAGAATCTTTAAGAATAAGCCAGATGAAGTGTGCTTCAGTGCTTATGCATTAGCGCACTAATTAAATACATGTTTGACTTCATTAAAAACTAATAAAGCCTATGAATGAATAATAAAAAAGAAACGCATTCAATAGAGCCAGTGATACTCTTGACATTTCTATTCAGTGTGATTTCACAGACTGAGTCACTGCTTGGCCTCAAAAGTGCTCAACTCAGTACTGTCCAGCTGATCTGTTTACACAACAAGTTGCTTTGTCAACTTGCCGTGTTGCTTTGGTTTGGAGCTGCTGCTGAAACTGACTGAAATCTTCAGTACTGGTGACATGAGGATCTGTTTTTTGTTGCTGACACTACATGGACACATCAGTTAAAGCTGCTCCCAAGAACATCTGTTAAAGAGCTTTTGGTTAAACTACCTTCCTGGAATTAACACTTTCAGGAAACTCTGATCCTGACCGGTTGTGAGGGATACGATTCGTTCTCACCTGTGAAGCAGCGCTGCGGCCGGCGGGGCAGGTGAGAAGGGGCTGCATCAATCAGGGGCTCTAGGCACTCGGTTCCCTGTGGGACTTTTTTGGGGTCCCAGTCACCGGAGCAATACATCTGCACTGCCTTCCCCATCGAACTGTGGATCTCAGACACCGCTGTGAGAGAGAGAGACACGTGCATTGAAGTATATTAGATTAATTTCACAATCCCACACTGGAAGAGGATCACATGTTGTGCAACACAGGTGGTATAACAGCGAGTAAGGGGGCTGGAAAGGGGTAAACATGTCAGAGGGGTTTAATGTAACCCAGTGGGAGAGAAATAAGAAAGTACCAACACAGTGAGAAGAAAAGAGGAGATGACACATGAAAACTGCTCTCATATTTTCCCCTGAACAGCGTATCCTAATTTAAAAGTCTTATGTCACGCTGGCTAATGCTACCGGCTAGATTTGGCCGCAGCGCAGAGGCTGCGTTTCCAATTACTTAAATGCGTAAAACACACGACAGCTCCGGGATCCAGTACAGAGGCCCGCTCCATCAATCCCAGGACGAACGGCTAAAAACTCATTCACTCTTTATAACTGTTGAGATCAGGCCTTTTCAGATCGGGCCGCGATCCAGGAGAGGCAAATAAGGAGCATGAAATAGATCCCTAATTTATGTCTGACTGCTCTACTGCAATGTAACGGCATGTTTGATAAAGCAAATATAGTCACAACCACGCAGATGTGATCATGGAGGAATCGGATTGTCTGTCAGCATCTCAGATTTAAAGTGAAGTTGGTAGAAGTGGAAGAAAAATACAGATATTTAACTGCTTTGGAGATTTAATGAATGTTATCAATTAAATCACTTCTATAAGCAGTATGTATAAGTAGGTCGACATAGTTTTAGAATACTTTTAACTCTTTTTCTGTAGTTGTTTTTATTCCAACTTTAAATCTTAAAAAAATAAATTAAACTGCACAAGGTTTTAAAAACAGCTGGTTTACTGTGCAATCAGTGTTTTGCTGAGTATTGTCGTGTCCACATCTCTGTTTCTGCCTCTTATCTGCTTTAGTTTATCACTTATCGGGCAATGTTCTCCTTTGAGGAGCTCAGACCTTGAACAGAGTGGTGATAGAGACATTTCTCCACTTCAGTCCTCAATCACTCCTTCCCTTCTTTCCGTCCATCAGTCGTTTAAAGCTCCACCGACTGATAGTGAAGAGACACCTCCTCCAAAACCCATTTATCTTTTATGACCTTTGCTGCTTTTCTCCCCGCACCACTCGCTTCTCCCATTACAAGAGGAAGCAGAACAACATTCATCAGCACGGACTGTAAAGCCTCAGGATGCTTGTCCAGGCTTTAAATGCATCCCAACCTCTTACCATCTATGAGCTCCGATCCAAAAATCACAGCCTTGGCGTTGGAGATGGTGACACAGTGGACTAAGGCCTCTAGTCTCAAGTTGAAGTTGATGAGGGCGGCCTCTACTCCGATCTTAGCCATGCCCAGCCACAGGCCCACGTACTGGGACCTGTTCTCCATGAAAAGGGCCACCACGTCGCCCTCCTGAAGAGAGACACAACAAAAGGCAATCGTATCAAGCTTACTGGGATATCATACCTGGTAGCAACATTTGAGAAGGTTTTGAAAATGAACAGAAATCGGTTCTTGTTCCCTTCGTTCTTTAGAGACTGTTGTGTGTTGTAGACTTACCCTGAAACCCCGCTCCAGCAGCAGGTTGGCCACTCGGTTGGAGTATTCATCCAGCTGTCGGAAGGTCCATCTCTCTCCGGTGCCCTCGAAGATGAGCGCCGTTTTGTCCCCGTGGCGTTGCACCGTTTCGGCAAAGATCTTGGGAATTGTGTTCTTCTCTTTCAGGTGGCGCCTGACATTCATCTTCACCCGCAGCAGCACACCTGCCGCGCTGAAGAAGCAAAAGAAAAAATACTGTCAATTACAAGAAAAGCCAGTTAACTCTTCCTTGAATAAAAGACATGAGCCAACCCACCTCACATCATTCCCTGCTACTACAGTTATGTTATTATTGCATACTATTGCAGCTGTGAAAAGAAATGTGTTTTCGCAGGCTCTTGTTTTGTTTTTTCGGTTATTTCAAGAATGCTTTGACATCTGAGGCCCAGCTGCTCAGAAGCACCAAACTGATGTGTAAAAATCTAAAAAAAAATCCAGTAAGAATGTTTTTTAGGCAGAGAAGTTTTCAAAAAATCTGCAATTGTACAAACCAATAATGTGACTATTTAAAAAAAAAAAGGAAGCTAAATCAATGCACGACAACACTGTAGCCTGAAAGTTGTTTTTTACGGCGCAATTAGATGCACGAAAACCAATTACTCCAACCGCACAGGGGGATGATAACTAAAAACGACTCGCATTTGAATTCATAGCAATAAAACACTCAAATCAAAGCATGTTTATGCTCATCGACAGCTTCAACCGACCGACTATGGCCGTCTTTTATCTATATTGTACGCTAGACATAAAATACAACAACAGACTTTGTCCTTTTGGCCCAGTTAAAAGGGCAACGTCTGCATAAATGGCAACTTCCAAATACATTTGTGCACATTTATGGCACAAAGGTGAAGATAGTGTTAATCCTCCTGGAAAGAGATTAACTGCAGAAACATCATAAAAGAAAAAAACAAACATGTTACCTTATGGTCTCATTGTGGTGCTGATGATACGCTTATCATCACACATAGGATTAGTTTCATGTCGTTTTAGATAAACACAATTTATTGTCCCACAGTCTGTACAGTGACTTCATTTGTGCACAATAAATCTGTCTAAGGTTCTTTCTATTGCAGCAGAGGAGCTTCCTGAACTCTAAACTATATAATTAACTTTTCAATCAGACCTGTAACAAAACTAACACGATTGAATTCTATGTGTTTCTTTACTCATGTTCACGAGAGGAGTTTCGGATTAGCAGCAAACTGAGCTGCAACATTAAGAGTATTTACAACCAATTGCAGCCAATGCAGCCGTCTGAACCACCCACTGGAACTCCCAGAGACACTGAATTGCGTATCCCGGGGGTTAATATCGTTTACAAAGGCAACGTAATGGTGACTTTTATGTTGTAAATACCCGAGCCTTGTTAAACCACATTACACATTAACAAGTTGTGAGTCACTCTGGAAAAGGTGTGTAAATATAGTGAACTTTTAACCTTGAGGCTTCGAATATTGTCCGCAGAAAACGTAGCAGCATTATCCGAACGGCACTTATAGTTAGAGGTGTTTGCATGTGAAGCAGAGGTCGTACCCGGTATAAAGGAGCAACACTAGTTATATTCCAGTTCAGGAAAGTGTCTGTAAAGCACAGCCTCGCAAACTGTGACCCTTATCTGTCTGACCGATAAGAGAACTGGGCCACATTTGTAAATAACGGGGTCACAGGATGGCACTAATCACATCTCTGGCAAGAGGATGCAAAGAGCCCATCTTTTACAATTTCCTGTGGAACCTCTATTGCAGCTATAGAGGAGGAACGGAAGTTAACCGCAAACCAATGACCCTTGCAACCTCCATCTGTAAATATTGGCTTTAGGTAAGGCAGTTAAAACATGCGCTCCCCCCTCCTCCCCTTCTCCTCCATCCTCTCCATTTTCCTACATTTCAGTCTACCTGTTCGGAAGCAGGTACAGCAGAAGACTTACTCAACACCAGGCCTGTTGTTGAAGAGCCTCGGGTTGCCTGACGAGTTCTTCTCAGCCGCTTTCAAAGAAGACGGTCTGCATTTTTTTTTTTTTAACAAAGCCACAATAGTGGAAAAAAACAACAACCTGTTCTTCGAGCCGAGGTGCTCCTAAAACCCTGCGGTGACGTAAATTGCAATGACGCTCGAAAATTTTAAGCTATTTATTCAGAGTGCAGCTAAGTGTGAATGCGGAGCTTTTAATAATTAACGGAGATATCGTTACTGGGCACCGCTGTGAGTCATATCATTGTATTATCGCATATCATTCCATTGAGAGGTGACAAATGATCATTCTAATTTAAAACTCTGCCTGGTCGCATTAATATCTTATGCGAGAAGATGAGGCGGAGACCTGAAAACTTCCTTTTGTGATGTTACAGTAACACATGGCACATTTTACTATTTGCAAACAGTCTTGTTCTGGCTGAATGCAACCATCTGCAGAAACCTCGACGGTTGAAATGCATGTAAGAGTTGGACTGTTTTGGGAGTAGCATATCCGTGCACTGATGGCATCAAAGGGCCGCAGTGCCACCACTCTTTAAATTAAAGCTGTTAAGTCTCAAATGAAAGCCAAAGTTCAGCACTTTACCCTTGCAGTCAATGTTTCACTCGAGGTGCAACGTTCTGGATGCACAGCCAAAAACCACTAAATAATTTGTCATTGTCAAAACACTCACAGGCCGAACTAGGATTTGGCAAACAGTTGAGAGAAAGCGGGACATAGCTGCTTAAAAATAAAGCAACTCAAATGATAATCATATTATTTTGTGCTTGCAAAAGGCTGGAAAGTGGATAAATTACATGCACCGTCTACCCACAACCTCCCCATTGCTTACTGTAAGTCTCTGCCAATGGTTTTGGCGAAGATCTGCAGAGACTTCCATCCTCCGCTTCCCAGGAAGAGTATCAGGATGGCCGGAAGAACTTGGTACCAAGGCAGGCCCACCAGCAGCCTCAATACGAACAGCAGGACTGTGCAGCATGCTAGACGCATCATCCTGAAAGAATGCACACACACACATGTATAAATAGAGATACTAGATAACAACGTACAGGCAGCAGACCATGACTACTAATCACCAACATTTCAGACCAAACACCAGTTCAGTGGGAGAAAGGTTACGTGTGGTTGAAGTGAGCAAAACTGATCTTTAATCTGCTTCCTCTAAGTGGCTGGCAAGCTAACCACAAAAGAATGTTATCGACTATGGTTTCTTGTTTGCTCATGCTGTGCCTATTTCGGCTCATCTCCGGCTGACTTAAAACGAAAGATATGAAATCACACCATAACATGGGTTCTCCTCCTGGATGAAGCTTACCATGATTAGATAAAACTACAAACAAAAAAGTGTTGTACATTTGTAAAGCTGGGATGAATTTGCTTTTCCTTTTGTACATGAAAAAAGGCTGCTGACACCTTGAGGAAACCTTAATTCACTCCTCTGACAGTCTGTAGTAGCAGCAGAGTGCAACAAAGGACAGCATGTGTTGACAGAGGTGCCACCTGAGAGGTAGAAAGCTGATCCTGGAACAGCAGAGGACAGCTTCACATGTCTGCTTATTATCTATTCATTCGTAGGATTGCTCTGTTCAAGAATGGCTCTTCTTTTTATTATTATTATTTGGGGAAAGCCTGTTTGGTGAGGATGCTGCTTTGCCTCTGTGGCTGATGAAGGCTCCATCAAAGCTAATCCAATAACTCCACTGTTAAAACATGAACCAGCGGTCTGTGTGGGCGATTAAATTACTTGATGGGATGTCACACATAAGGAGAAAACGGTGGATGCGTTAAGGGGCCAGTCGCCACCTCACTGTAGGAAGAAAAGAAAAAAAAGCTTCATCATTCGCTGCTGCTAAACCCGGAAATTTAAAAGGCGCGTAGCATCATATTGCGGTAGAGGGTAAAGCAATGATAAAGGCTCAGCCCACTGTGGGTAAGACTACACCACACCAACCGTGCCATGTGCGCCTCGGACTGGGCCTTTAACTGTAGCCCGGTAGGACGGTATTTACGGTGCTAACCTGATGTAGGTTATCATGGTAACAGGCGCGCCTGATGCGCAGCGTATTGCGCGCATCGGCTTAAAGGAAGCGGATGGACAGTGTGACAGCAGACCTCTTTTAGGATGAAGAGCCATGCTGTGTGTCTACGTCCGCATAATTTAGCTTCTTCGTGATCAGCGTTAAAGCAAATCAGTGGCTTTAAAATCACTCCCCCCCAAATAACGGGGACAACATCGCCTTTGTCTGTCCCTTCCTCCGAGCGATTATAAACCTGAACCAAACGCCAAGTTGCTCATCGCGGGGGCGCTTCAGCCAGCCTGGGCTGTGGCCGGGACGCTTTTTTTTCTCTCTCTCTCTTTTCTTTTTTTTGTGTGTGGCTCACATACCTTGCACCTCGATCACACCGTCACAAGCATGTAGGTGCGCAGAAATCCAAACTCGTCGTGTGCGTTTCCACCTTGATCGGCTTACAGGCTGGCCGGGTCGCCCCCCCTCCGCTCGTCACCGCCGCTCGGTCGCCTTTGGACGGAGAAAACGCACACAGACAACACGCACTGGGATCCCCTCCTGTCGTTAACGGCACAACGACCTGCTGTTGCTGCTGCTGCTGCGGCTGCGGCGGCTGCTCCTCCAAAAGCTCCCGGCGGTGCGCGTCGACTTTGACCCCGCGATCATCATCCGTTCATTGTGGCGATCATTTATATCATTCCCGGGTTCATTGTAGCCGATAAGCTCGCTAGCAGGCGTAATTCAAATGACCTTATAATTTTCTTAGTTGCGCCCGCCCCGCAGCCGTCAGCGTCAAATCAGTGAATCAGGAATAAGCGCAGACGGACGCGCGTCACGGCCAATGGAGAGGAGCCGTTTGTCACACATCCCATCCGGCAGGGGCGGGGTTTGCGGCACTGGAGAGGAGGAAATGCGGTCCAGGGCCCTGCTCGGTTGCCGACAAGGCAGCGAGGGGCAGCACGCGCAGCAGTTTCCACCCGGCACCGACAGGGCCCTGATGCGGATCCTTATGGCGTAGAAATGAGCCCTGCCTCCCTCCGTCCGTCCGTCCATTCATTACGCCGCTGCTGCGCTCAGCCACTAATGCTCTTTAAATCTGTCAACAGAGGGAGACCCGTGGAGGGGCGACGAATGAGGAAGAGCAGGATGTCAAACACTGACCAGGAGCATTGGGTTGCTAGTGAAGGCCAATAAAAACTACTGCAACCAGAGAGCACAGCAGCTGATTTAACTGGAAATCAATCTTCAAACTGAATGTAGATGCATCTTACATACAGTTAAGGCCAAAATAATTGGTGCCAAATTTGATTTGTGCTGAATTTTAAGTGACCTTTAGTTTTTTTCTGACTGGAAATGACATAAAACAGTATGTTTAAGGTTTTAATGACAAATTAGAATGATTTATGTCTTTATTTTACATTTTTTAAAACCAAAAATGCCACATCTAAAATTAATTATACCTCCTGATATTGTTAAATTCATTCATTCCAAGTGGTACTGCTAATTCCTACCATGTTAAGGAGAATTCTGTTAAAATAAAAATCAAGAGCAGCTGATGTAGTAGTGCTCTTGTCAGCTCCCAGTCAATTCCAAGTCACGACAAAGAACTGTAATCTTCCCGAGGACCTCTGGTTGTGTATTGTGGTGACTCGCAAGCCTGAGACAAGCTTTAAATCCATAATGAAGTGTTTTCAGTTGTCGGTGGCAACAGCACAAAGCATAACTCAGAAAATACAAGTTGGTCAATGCTGCAAGAAAATCTCAAAATGTCGAGGTGGAAAGCCAGAAGTGGGCCATGTCTCGCAAGAGTGGTGGTGGTGGTGCAAGAGGCTGGAAGGAATCCAGGGATAACCACCAAAGCCATCGAAATAAATCAGAGAAATTCTGGTAGCAACATCCCAGGGCACACAAGCAGACGCTGCACAAGGCTGGACTCTGACCAAGGAGGACTCCACTTATTCAAGAAAAGCTCATCTGGACAAAGAAGGAAGTTTCTGGTGGTGGGATAAAATAAAAATGGAGATGTTTGGACACATGGATGTTACTGTGCTAGTCGAAAGAAATGAAAAGTGTTCAACGATCGAGCATGGTGGTGGGAATGTTACGCTCTGGGGAGGGTCGTAAGAAATGACGACTGTATTAAAATTCCGGAGGAAAACATCTGTCAGGAAAACTTGGGTTTTGGTGCTTCAAACACGACAACGATCCAAAAGATCCAGCAGCCAAAGTGGTCAAGAAAGAGTTAACACAGAACACCACCAACAATTTGGAGCCGCCCAGTCAGAGTGCTGAATCTCACTCAGAATCTTTGACCGGAAGTGACGATTACTGATGACAAGGACGCCCTCCGACCCAGAAGATGAACCAGAATTCCAGTGGAGACGTGTAAAAAGAACTCATTAGGAACTATAGGAACTGTTTGACTGGTGTGGTGGCAAATAAAGGCTTTGATTACAGAGAGAGACTATGAATAGCTCAAAAAATGAAAAAAACAAAAACAAAGAAGTAGGTTAAATCCATCATTAACGTCTCTATCACATGTTCTACTCCCCTTTGTCACGTGTTTATGAAATTTCTCGCCAGAAGACACAGAAATTCACTACAAATCCACATTTGGTATGAGCAGTTTTGGGCTTAACTGTAGGACTGCAGTCCCCCACATGGCTGAATGTAGATGTGCCAAGAAATGTGCCAAACCTTAGGGCCTGTACAGACTCGCTGCAGCCTTATGCGGTGCAGCCTGTCTGGGTTTTTCTGACATGATTTTTTTTTGATTTACCGATTACTGCAACTTTAAGCCAAAAAAAAAAAGTGTCTCGAAGCCTGCAATAACAAAAGAACAACACATGAGGCTGACATTTTACACAGTGTCCATTACAGCAATGTGACATGTCATGAAACACATTGCACAACCGGGGAAGATTACAAAAGCTCTACTACAACTAACCGCCGTGGGTCACCGGTGCAGGCCGGCAGAGGTTACTTCCCCAGTGGTCTTCAATTAATGGAGACACGCTTATTTGGAAATTCTTGCAAAACATGCTACACGTAACCCATTTAAAAAAAAAACTAAAAATAGTGGAATGTATGTGCAGTAATACCCAACGGTCACATAAAAGCCAGAGTTTTACGCTGCGATCCTGTGGGTACCTTAGTCAGCATTTATCACACGGTTTAATCTGAACAAACTGTTTCTGTGAGACAGTGAATGAATGACAGGTGAGGCAACAATCAGGATAAAACAATTCGATGAGCTTTGACCTGCAAATGAGAGAGAAAAAATGCACACCTACACATTTTCAGCACACACTGGATTTGACACTACAGATGCTGAACAGTTAAAGCATCGACGGGGTTGAGAAACTCCTCCGCCGCTATCAGTTGGAGAAGACACACTATCAGTGGTTCTCAGACAGATTAGGGCACACCCATGGCATTGTGACACTTTTCTGGTCAGGCCTCTCCAGTGTGATGAATATTGCAGGCAAAGAGAACTTTTATTTCAACAAAGGAAGTAGGTGCCAAACCCTTTCTTTTTTGGTAAAGTTTTTTTCAATGGCCGCATGGAGACATACGGGAAGCTGTCAATGAGTGTGACACTTGCTTAATATGGTTTCTTCCCTTTCACTGGGATTTTTTTGGTTGAAAGTGGGTGAGATTAACAAGGTAGCTGCTTGGACAGGACAGGACATTTTGTGCTGAATTCAACAGACCAGCAAGTAGATTGTTCAACAAACCGCATCTGTTTTGAACAGTCGTACTTTCACTTAGACGCATTTACTTAAACATGAAAATAATACATTTTTAATTCACACTTTAACACTTCAACACATCTAAAGTTAGAGAAATAAGCTACATTCATCCACATTTTTATCTAAACTCCATTTAGGTGAGCTCAAATGTTCAGACATAACAAGCCCTTTCAAAGTTATGCCTCAATAGCGTTTATATTCCAGCACAACCACGATGAGCAGAGGGCTGGAAAAAGCCACATAAACATTTCTGTAGTGTCACTTAAATGTTTGAACAGCCAGCATGTTTTAAATATCATCCCTGTCTCCTGGACTAACCCCATTCTGCTGCCAATAATCAAATCTCTCTCTGCGAAGAGGTAAAATCTAAATCACCTTGAGGCTCCCTGAAGGAGACTCACAGTTGCTCCAGTCGCAACCTTTAGTCCATTTCCAAATACTCAAACCGCTCTCTATAGTCTGTTGACTTTATTCCCGTCTCCCTGTGGTGTGAGCGACCAGTGTCACCGTCGAATTTTCCATTTTTGTTTCAGTCATCCAGTTCAAGACCAAAGTGTGTGTAGAGATCTCGTGTGGTGGTCCCCCTCAGAGCAGCTGCAACACATACCAGATTACAGGGTCAGCTCCGTCTAGTCTCCTTTTCAAACAATCCACATGACACTGAGCAGACCGAGATCACGGTGCCAAGAAACTGAAACACTTTAAACATGAAGCTTGTACTCGGTCAGACGGTTGGAAACAAGTGACAGTTTAAAAGAACAAACACACACACACCTCATATCTTAGACCATCCCAACAGTTGTTATAATTCCAGCTTAAAAAAATAAAATCAGCTAAACTTAATCTCATACATAGATCTCGTTAAAGCACAATTAAGTTCGTCCCACTGGTCTCGTTTGCATAATGCAGAACCAAACTACACTGAGCTGTGCTGTGTTCAGGCTCATAAAGGGACCAGCTTCTTCTGTATGGAGCGCTGACAAAGCATTTGTTAGCACACCACACTAATGCACTGTATTAGCAGGATTCTACGCGGGCTCAAAGATGCTTAGATTTTATTGCCCTTTAATAAATAACTACTTAAAAAAAATCAACCTCTAAATAATTTGCAGTGTAATAATGTACATAATAATCAGTTGTGAATTGTTGATCACAGGTTTATCATAATTAGCACTGGGGATTTAAAATCGTTTAAATAACTGTCAAAACACAAAAGATTAAAACAAAAGAGATATGAAGCAGAAAATAAGCATGTAAAAAGGCTTCTTACTGGTTTTAACCAGCGACATCACATCCCCCCTTTACTGGCTTCTCTCCACTGGCTCCCTGTCTGTTTCAGAATTGATTTTAAGATTTTACTGATCACTTTTAAAGCTAGCCAGGGCCTTGCCCCGGGCTATATTTTAGATGTGTTAACCCCGTATATCCCCTCATGCAGCCTTAGATCCTCAGGTGGGTCCCTCCTGATCGTTCAGGCTCAAATCCAAAGGCGACCGGGCCTTTTCTGTGACGGCACCCGGCTTTGGAACGACCTACCTGAGGAAATAGGGCTCGCAGATTCAGTATCTTCTAAACCCACTTTTATAGACTCGCTTTTGAGTGATGTTATCTTTTAGATTTTTGCCCGTTTCTTTTCCCGTTTTATACATCGATACTGCCTGCTGTCCTTCTCTTTTCTCTTTCTTAATCATGCTTCTATCTTCAGCTTTGATCTTAATTCCCCTCTGTGATGTCGTCTTCTTAATCAGTTTTACTAGTGCACCTTCCAATAGTGACCCAGTCTGTTCTTTTCCATTTTTATTTCATGCATTTTTATATTCTGAGTGTTTGCCTGCACTACTTGTTGTTTACGGTGTCTCTGTGTGTTGTAAAAGCACTTCGGTTCTTAAAAAGTGCTCCACAAATAAAGTTTAAAAAGTTTAAAGCCCACTACCTTTAAAAGAACTCGATGCAAACTAAACTAAAAAGAAAAAAACCCTAACTTAACATTTGTTGGATCACCCCTGACTTTTAAGCACAAATTCTCATACAGACACACTTTTTCAGTTCGCTTGGCAAGTAGGTTTTTTTCTCCGAGCGTCTTGGAGAACTTGCCACAGCTTCTCTGTGGGTTCGGCTGTCTCAGCTGCTCCTGGCTCTTTATGTAATCCCAGGCTGACTCCATGATGTTGAGATCAGGCCTCTGTGGGGACCATACATCTGTTACAAGACTCTTTGTTCTTCCTGCCACTGTCACTGTCTGACAGCATGTTAGGGGTCGTTGTCATGCTGCAGAATAAATTTGGGACCAACCAGATGCCTCAGTGAAGGTTTTGCGTCACGGACTGAAGGCTACACGTCTAAAGCGCCCAAAACCTTTGCACAGCGTCGTCTTCACCTGGTTTTCTTGCTAACACTGACTGTAATAATTAACAGCTTAGCACTCATGATGCAACTGTTTTGTTCACAGGGCACAGAGGGGGTTTAAGGGCACCGAGCTACAAAGAAGTTCAGTCATTGTGATATAGTGTCAGTCATCTTTGCACCTGAGGAGCAACACTCATGCTTTCATGTTATAGTCTCAGGTTTTGAAAGAGAGCTTACTTTCAAAATTGCATGTATCCTCTTGGTTGTCTTTCACTGACATTTCATGAGATTTCTTTTAGAACTTACTGTGCCTGAATCCAAATGTCACACTAAACTGCTGGAGTATGTCACTTTGTCTTGTAATATAAAAATATGAAAAATCCATGACAAATAGAAATAATTCAAAGAGTCAGAAAACACTCTGTATGTGTACATCCAATATTCAGTTACCACATACTTCTTCATCCACTGTCAATAAGGTACAACTGTTTTTAAAATGTCCTCAATAAGACCCATCATATTTACAGTTATATACTATACATACACACTGTTTCAGAGCAACTTTCTCAGCAGTGAAACAGAAATTGCTCTAAAGGGGAAAAGTTAAACTATTTTAGAGAGTTCATGGGCAAAAAAAAAATAGATAAAAATTAAGTGAGAGTGAGAGATTAATCCGGACCAACAGATGGACAGTCAGTCACAAAGGGACGGTTGTCTTTAGAGGGTACTGCAGGACATCTCTGCTCTCCTCTATCACTCCACAGTCTGCCCACCAATCCCCTCCCTCTCAGAATAACAGCATACAGTACAACAGCATCTCAGTGTCTAAGTGTAAACGCTTTGTGAAAGTGTTTCAGAGAAAGTGTGTGAGACCCAGAGAGAGAGAGAGAGAGAGAGAGAGAGAGCAGGAGGGACAGAGGAGAGGGTGACTGCACGTGTTTTTATTTGACTGTGTGTGCATTCGTGAATATATGCATCTATCTACAGGCATAGAGATTGCAATTGTGTGTCAGCGTGTGAGTGATGTGAATGACGGCTATTGTGTCAGAGGGGAAATGCCACCTCCGTTCACTAAGAGGTCATTATCATCTCGACTCCCCACTGTACTGACAAAGAATTTAAAGAGATAGCAAGCCTTTAACTCACAACACACATTTATTTGGAGAGATTGCGAAAGTTTTCTGCATAAACTAGTTCAGAAGTAGGAAACAAGTGACACTAGAGCATTCAAGGAATGCCTAATTATCCACGAAAATGTTCCGCTAACATCAGCGGACTGAATTAGGAGGTGGGGGAGTCCAGATTGTATTAAACATCGCACATACCAGCGTACGCATATAAACAGAGATATAAAGTCATGAGATGTGCAGTGACTATAGAGCAACTTGGCCATGATTCACCAAAACTTTCCTAACAGTGTGAACCTTCTCCCCGCTTCCTCAGCTTCATGTAGTTGCATCACATGCAGCCAAAAATACTCGAAAGACCGAAATTAGGCAAAACATTGTGGAGCAAAGGTGAAATGTCAGCGTGACTTTTTGATCTCTACGGGAAAATTAGGCAATACATGATAGTGGGAAATTGTGATTTGAGCAAGTGAGGACTAATCTAGTACTAAATGTCAGTCCTGATTAGTGTCAGTCAACAAATCATGGGACATAGAAAATTAAAGGACTTTCAGTGGCTGGTTAGTTCAGGGAGGATAAAGAGATGTCTCCAATATTAGAGATGCTTCAACTGTGTTTTCCTCTTAAGTGTAAATCTTACAGGTTTGATGTTTTTTGTATGCGTGCCAATGTAATCTAAATACAAACACACTCGTTGTTGTAGGATTAAACACTGTCTAGGGTCAAATAAAACCTTGCCTGGGCTTATGATTCACCAGGCAGAGCACAACAGAGATGCCTCTCTGTTGCCCTCTAATGGTTGGCTGTAGAATAACATGAACAATCTCCATACATATTCTAATCTGTCTATTCAAAGCCCATCATTTCAGCTCACATTTTCCATATAACCTACTGGCTGCATGTCAGATTTTATGAGTACATTTCCTTTTAATTTAACCATGTTTTAAAGGTACATACTCACCAATATACCATAAGGTATTAGAATGTCACAATGATGCCCCTTTTTGGCAAATCTGCCTTTTCTTGATTTTAAGGCTGACTGCTATTTACGGTAATCTAAGGCAGTGAGGTAGTTTTGGGGGAAATGATCACACCTTTGGACAGTTTGTTTACTTTAGTCCAAATAACACCAGAAAAAAAAAGACATATTGTTGTGTGTCTGAAATAGTCTGCTTAGGGTTCACACTGCCTTTTAATAGATGAGCAACGAGGTGTTAAGATGAGTCACACAGACAGACAACTCATTCGGCTGACAGTTTTGATCAGCTGTCGTCTAGCAACACTTATTTTTTCGGTGTGGGTGGTTTGCAGAGAAATAGTTGAAATTAACTTCAAGCAACTGGACTACAACCGGCTTTGAAAAATGCCTCGGCTAACAGCAAGAGGAGAAAATACACTCTCTAATCTTCTAAATGACTACCCCAGTGCGAAGCAACAATCATACTAATATGGTCAACAGGACTAAACTAAAGAAGAAGGAACTCTCTGTCAGGTTGGATGAATCAGTCCTAAAGGGCTGAAGGCTTTTCAAGGAATGTACATTAGATTAACTGTCAGTTATTAGTATTATATTGTTTTGAATGTTACATTTAGATAGATCAATATCATGCATTGGGAAAAAAAAAACTTGCTAAATGTGTTAATTAAGCATGCTTAGGCAACCACAGTGGACTTTTAAATGCTACCAAAAACTACTAAACTTAAATTTCTGTATTTCTCTTACCAATACGGCCCAGGAGTGATTGTCCAATGTCTTTGATGTCATTGTATTCATGCAACATGTCAATATGATGCTCCAGTTCGTCTACTCTGAATCCCCTGGAGAGACACACACAACACACACAACTGGTCTCATACAAAAGCAGTTTTGTGCAAATTTTCACATACAGGCAGAGACACCAAAATGAAAACATCTTAAAAAGAGGCAAATAATATTAATTCTGACAAAACTATTCTGTGTCTAACAGAAAACATCAGTGTAAGTAGTTAGGTGAAATATTCATAGGGGTCTTCACTACTGACTCCCTCTGCACTGATATTACACTGAATCGTGACTATACACTTAACTTCAACTCAGACTATTCAAATTGTACCTCAAAGACCAAACTACAGGAAGACAAACACAGCTGTACTCACTCAGCCTCCAGCTGTGCTATCTCTGTGTCCAACTGCTCTCTTCTCCTCTCCAGCTCTGCCACCTCCTCTGCAAGGCTAACTTTAGCACCGTCCATTACTTGAAGCTGTGAGGTGCAAAACCCATGATAGTGGAATGCATGTGTAGCACAACATACAACATTTAGAGTGTGTGTGTGTGTGTTAGAGATGAAAGGGGAGGTACTTACAGGTGATTTGAAGTGGGAGTGTACTCTCTTAAACTTTGAGAATGGAGTTCTAAGGAGAGAGGAGAGGAAACAATGTTGAATACTGGACATGAGAATATGTTGGCAGAATAAAGTATCTTTGCAGTGTTATTGGTCAGTGTAGGTTTCCGGTAAACCTCAATATTGAGGCTTCTGTTCTCCTCAGTGTTGCACAACACAGCCCAAAAAGGCAGTTCATTTTTCCTGGTGAACTTGGTGTTGCTGTTCACGTTACTGATATCTTCTGCTAAAGCTTCTACGTCTTGGTCTTTGTGCATTTAATAAACTTAGAAAGCCTCTTGGATGAGACAGATCTGCAAGAACCACAAACCACTGAAACACCTGGGATTACCTGGATGACTGAGAGTCTACACAGACATATCTTATCAATTATCTTGTGCTTTTCTTTCACACACAAGCTACAGATGTTGTTGTAACGTGTTGTGCTAAAACACGTTTTACAAATCACGTTTAATAACTTAAACAGAGTAAGTGGGACATTCAGATGAAGCTCCTGGGGGTGAAAAGGAAAGTGGTTTGATAACTTTGTGTAGCTTACAATAGACACACTTTTCTTGTAGTGTGTGATCAATGACAGGTAATAGAAAATACATTAACTTGTACAAAGTCCCACATATCAAAACAGAGTCAAGTATTCATTGTATACTTTAGTGATATCTGGTGGTATCCTATAAATATATCCATCCTTATCAAGGCTGTTTCTGGTTTCTGCTGATGTCTCAAATGCTAAGATAGATGAATTAGCATGGCAACGTTAGAGTTAACACTGAGGTACAGCACACATCGTCTCAGAAAGGTCTTGGTACAATAACGCAACGAGACAAGGAGACAATGAGTTACGGCCATGGCAAGCATGCTTTTAAAGTGGGTAAAATGTTCAGGCATACATTAATGCGATCATACATTGAAAGACAAGTAGCATTAGCCGTCCAGTTGACTAGCGTTAAGCTAACTGTAAAGTTACCTTTTTACTGCTCCTTTCTTCGTGTCGTTTCCCTCCGGCGTCGAAACTGGACATTTATTTGCACTGCCGTGAGTTTCATCTTGCTCCTCTGCGTTCATATTGCCTTAAATATTACAGAATTATGTATGTATTTGTATGTTAGTGTTGATTTAATACCATACAGCAGCAGCAGTTAAACACTGAGGAAACTAGGAAGTTTGCAGTTCGCGGCTGACGGTAAACAGACTCTGATTGGCTGTTGGAACAGAGAGGCGGGACTTGGCGGAGACTGGTAACCAGGGCAACAGACAACAGTGTAAATCTCCTCTCATAGGGCTAATGAAGAGAACAGAATAGAAACACTTTATTTATCCCAAACCTAGGAAATTATTTTGTTACAGCAGCATTGTGGATTGTTTTGGGAGATTTTATAGATTTTTCTCCACAAGTACTGAAAAATTATTATGACTATTGTTGCCATAAACAACGTCAGGTTGTATTTGGGCTTTGTACATGATGCTCTGCACTTGATTTAATACAAAACTTTAAGCGCTAGTAAGTACTAAGTTAACAAAATGACTATTTAAATAAATTTGCATTGCAAACACGGCTTATGGGTTGAAACCAGTAATTAAAAATGATCTGTTCAGCCACTAAATCATTAACACAGGCTACATAATGGGAAAACTGCCAGTTTGATACCAACATAATTAAAGTCACATTGTTAAAAGGTATAGTGACTAATCCCCAATTAATCTAACAAGGATATTTCTAATTTCAAACAATATTATTGTAAGGCATGAGGTTTTTATTGTAACATTCAGAGAATGATAAATAAGCCTTTTTTCTGATAGATAGATAGATATATAGATAGATAGATAGATAGATAGATAGATAGATAGATAGATAGATAGATAGATGCGATGTGATATGTTAAGAAAGGTAGAACATTTTGCCTGCAATATTCCAATATTTTGAGTATGTTTCGGGGATGTTGTTGAGGTAACACATAACACAACATCCTTCCATGCTAAAAAAAGAAGGAAATGTCTTAAGGGAAATTAACTTTATTCTACCTTTGGGGAAAAATTCTAGAAACTAAAGACAAATGTCCGACTGAAAACACAACTTGAACTTTGCAGAAAAAAAATCTAGTTATTTTTTGATTGATAAAGAATTAAACAATCACTTGTGACACACTCACATTCGGTCAGTTAACTCATCACTCAAGGCTTCACTCGACTAAGTTCATGGCTCCCATATTGTCCCTTTTGTAATATATTACTACGTTTAGCTGTAACGTTGGAAGCACAGTCACCATCCTGATTGACCATCAGATGGCGACAAAGCACTGCCTAACTTGCCTCCTTTATTTCTCTCCTCATCACGTCTCTCACTTGTTTCCCTATCACAACACTCACCGACTCTCTCTTTCACTCTCTCCCTCTTTATCAACCCACACACTTCTTGACTGAGAAGAATATTGCATAATCAGAGAACGATGCCGTGGCATATATTCATGAGCTAATCTAAACCGAGTGTACTCTGGACGGCTCACCATCCAAGCTGCTTCTCAGGCTGATTCAAAGCCACCGCCACTCTAAATCTAAATCGGCGGTGGATTAACGAAGCAAAAGGTCACGTTCAATCCACACACACACACACACACACACATACACACACTGTGTCACTTTTCCACCACATATTGGGACCAGATTTTTTTTTCCAGTTTGGATCACTGGTCAAATACAAAAAGAAGAGGCACAAGATTTTAATTTTAAAACATAAACACAGACAAGACAAGCGTCACAGACAAAAGGAAAGACTGATGCAGGAAGAGAAGGACAGACAAAATGTGTATCTAAGGGAGCTGATGTTGGGGGTGTGGAGGACATAAAATCCAGTCCATTCTGTGTTATGTCCTCAGGATTCATTGCTTATTTATCAGTTGTTGTACAGAAACAGAGAGGGTGGGGAATAAAAAATTCAGACAAGAGGCACGGCCTTTCCTCCTTTCAGAAATTGCAACGTTACACACACTGGGCGGTAATGGCTCCTGCATGCAGTCATGTCTGTGTGTGAGAAGGAGAGATTTATGGTGGATGGCTGCTTCTCTCCCATCTCTGACACAGCAGTGAGTATCTGAGAAGGGTCTATGCTTGCGCTACCAACATCACATATCCTGGATGTCTGTAGGTTTTACTAACGAAGGACACATATGGTTAATATGTACACAAATTCCCGCAGTAGTGACCGTGTTGATCAAGTGTCACGGCAAGTATAACACCTGCCATTTTTTTGATAGCATGAATAAGCGTCTGCCTGTTACGTCGGTTGTACTTTTGAGCACAGTCTGAGAGAAGTGCATCTTCCTAATGTGCTACCAACCTTTCAAAGCTTGGATATTTATTTATTTATTTTTGGCAGTCTGGCTGATGTCCATGTTGGTGGAAGAAAAGCTCTCAGGAATGCCAAAATAAAGTACTCAGGTATTATCAAGGAATGGTCCCTAATGGATAGTGAAGTTTGCCACATTTAGTCAAGGCGCTGCTGCTGATGCCCTGATGTGGTCCTTTGTCCCCGACAGAATCTACAGTGGAAGTCTTTGTATGCTTTTAAGAATACCGCTCTGTGTGATCATAATGAGAGGCAGTCCCATGTGCCTGGGTGGAGAGTTTGATGTTTACTACCTGGTGGCTACATATAGAGGATGGATGAATAATGGACATCACCTACAGGTTTGTTTGAAGCTGAATGCGGAGGCTTCGGCCATTATCAAAAAATGAGCAAAGAGGTAGAGAGTGGGAGTGGAGCTGAATCGAGGCTTGAAAACATCCTCTGACGGCACCCATCCATCACCTCAAACTAGCCACAATCTTCATAATGCATAACTTTAAGACTTGATACTGTTTAAATTGAAGAAAGACATATTAATTCACCACTTGTACAGTTAACATGAAAAGTCAAATTAGCTACAGGGACCAAAACCGTTTCCATACCAGGCTGTAAACACATTTATTTCTATTGTAAAGTTGGGTATTTTAACATGGGCGTCCATGGGGATGGACTTGTTTTTGAAATCAGCCTCAAGTGGACATTCAAGGAACTGCAGTTTCTTTAACATTTGCCTCATACTTCAGCCCTGGAGGTTTCCACTTGTAGCTACAACAGACATTCAGGCTTTTACTGTAGTACTAATACCTCTGTTTGATTGAAGTGCCCAATAAAGAAAGACAGAAGACCAGCGGACACAGTAGCAGCACCTTGATACCGAAGCAACTGAATAGCCTTCAATATTTTTATGATTCACACCTGCTGTGATATATTGATTACATGCACTGTTTACTACTTGCTTAGACTTTTTTAACACTAATATGTTTCAATTTTTAGAACATGTCTGTGTCAAAAGCCTCAGTTTCCCTTTCTACACATCAACACTGCAAATAGAACGGCTGGTATCCATGATGGGAGTTTTCTAATAGTCCCATTTTCATTGATCTAACAGAAGTGAAAAGACACAGAAAAGGCTGTGTTTAAAAAAAATACCCATGTGGACAAGGCTGTAGTAACTACTTTCATTAACTTAGATTTTTTTTTTTTCATCATCTTACCTCTAAGTTCACTAACTGGACTGAGATGCAGTCAGAACAACCAGAACATCGTAGCAAGTTAACAGTTTAAAAGATAACAATGGACTTTTACAGTCAACACATTTTTATATTATATATATATTTTCACAGGCCAAAAGCAATTTCCTTTTGTCTGATTGTTTTTTTGTGTGTTTTTTGTACAAAACCCACAAAACAGAAATAACAAAAAACAGAGAGTAAATACTTTTTTTTTTTTTGTGGAGAGAGACATGCTGTTATTGGTCTTTGTTCCCTGCTAACATCATTATACTGTTCTGTAGTGGCAGGATCTCAACTGTAGATTTGTCAAAATCAAATATTCTGTTCTCTTATTTTTTTTCACAGACAGAATGTGAAAAAGCAACATATGAGGAAAGAGATGGAAAAGGAGGTGGTGGGAAATGTGAGTGTAAAGATAATCTTACCAAGGAATTGGAAATGAGCGGCGGGAACAGGACAGAAGGTTGAAACAGCCGGACAATAAAAAGGAAAGAATGGGAGCTTTTGGTTTGTAATGTTACTTGGAAAGCCTCCTATCTATCATGTTCATAATTCATGGAGGCCCACCTGCTCCTCTGTGCTGCATCTAAATTCCACTGCCGGGGAATTATGGCCAGGGACCATAAAGAAGAAGAAAGAGAAGGGAAAGAGGGGGAGAGACTCCTGGAGTGCAGAAGAGATACAGTGGACAGACAGTGAGCCGTAGGTGAGGGGAATGATGAGAGGCATGTCATAAAACATCGATACACCTCTAAAGGCCGAGCTACGAGCGCTGCTTACACCGGAGGCCTCTAAATAATTCACAGAGCCTGTGCAAGCGCTTATTTACAGTCCAAACAAACATGTATGCAAATATATACAGAAATGCCGACCTATGCACTAAACTGCAGTGCACACATGTGAGCAGTCGGGGAAGCTATGTACTGTACATCATTATAAATCTGTGTTTTCACTGAAATACACAGATTCTGGGCATTTGGCTCGAGTAAATCTTGGAGGCAGCTGTCAGGAGAGAACAGATTTGTGTTTATATTTAGCTATTCGGACTCGCATCCAGAGCCCGGGTTGAGATTGCTTTGATAGAAAGCAGCTGATAGAGCTGTTTTTTTGTTATAAGGCAGAGTCTTGCAGAGCGAGATCGCGCAAGTGGTGATGGTAGGATACGATTACACACCTGCAACCTCATTCTGACCTTATTCTCAACAGGTGCTTTTATCTTGATGCTACTGATGATTTCACTTTTGAAACCAGCAACTAGCGTTTTCCCCATTCTTCCATTTTCTGAACCAAGAGGCTGAACGTGCTCTACACCTGAAGCTGAGGTGAAATGCTATCGAAATTTGTGCACGTTTGCTAGCCAGTGAATAAATGGTACTGTATCGCATTGAAACTCCAAGGCTACAAAAAGGCACCATGACTAAGGCCTCGTCCACACGTAGCAGGGTATCTCACAAAACAAAGATATGTTTCTACGATGTGGCCTGTCATCCACATGAAAACGTAGATTGAGGGCATTAAAAATTATTCTTTCAAAAACCTCCGACCAAAGTGAGGATTTGTGAATCCTCCGTTTATGCGTCTGCATGTGGATGTCAATAACCGGGTTTTAGGTTTTGAAGCGTCACTGCCTGCGACAAAATATGTTCTTTACATCACATGTGACCTGTGTTTACATTTGGAAACAGCGTGGACGCCCTCAGGTTCTCTTGTCCAGGCCCAGATACCGCTCTACATACAAGAACACAGGCGAAGGACGACGTTAAGGACGGTTATTTTCCGCCACCTTGCCATTTCACATCTGAGGCATGTTCTCCGTCAGACACTGACACCAGTTTTAGGTCAGACCGGGATGCACTGCTAGCTGGTGGGAGAACTTTGAGATGGAAATCGTGCGTGACAATTTTCGTATGTTGCTACTGTCGTCGGAGTTATTACATCCTCACATAGACTATGAACGTGCTTAAAAACACACTTATGCGTTTAGGTGTGGATGAATTTTCTTCTAAAAACGAGGTGGTGTGTATGCAAGTTTTTTTCTAGACGGACGGGGAGGATATTCAGTTTTACAAAAACCCTGCTTCATGTGGACAAGGCCTGAATCTCTGCAGAAGAAGCCCTTCGTTATCCAGCTGGCCTCCACCTCGTGGTCAACAAGTGATCCTGTACATGTAAATTACAGTGTACAGACAATAAATAAATACATTGGTGGAATGCTGGTGTCACAGTAACTCCCTATTATAGTGTCTGCAATTCATGTAGAAATAAGTAGGAGTTCGGATATATCCACATCAAAGGGAATCCATCATAATCTGAGAGGTTTTTCATGTCTGTAGCGGTGCTGTTGTATTAATGCCATCACAAAATGGCTATTCATGTCTGAGCCAGGGAGGCCTTGGTTGGATATCAGCTCCTCTACGCCTCCATCTGTCTGTGTGTTCTGTGGTATGTGCTATTTCTCATTCATTAGCTCTGACTCATCCTTCTAATAACTACCTCTATTTCCTCTCTGAAATAGTTTTCAGTTGTTTCCTATTGTATGATTAGTCTCCGTGCCTCTCTGACTCATTCACTTTATTGCCAGAATAAAGCTTCCCGTTTTCATCTTTTTGCCTTCTTGTATGGATCGCCTTTCATCGTGACTATCATTTCCTCGCCTCCAACTGTCAGTTTGGTTTATCGTCGCGCTCTGAGCACCTCGTTCTTGTTCCCTCCCTTTCAGACACGTTTTGCCGTCACCTTGTCGCCTCAGGGTCGACCGGGTCTGTGTACAAACAGACTTTATAGCCGTTGTTGTGGTTAGAGGCCTTGGCAAGACTTCACTCTTTCTTCGGGCTACAGTTTTATCTGTTACACCGTCTAATTTCTTTTTTTGCATTGAAGTAAAGCAATGTTTGTAGGCTCACTGGTTTCCTGTAGCACATATTTACACTTGTAATCTTTTAGAGGATACAACAGATTAACAGATGCTGCTCCATCAACAACAAACTGCCAACATATGCACCTGAAATAGAAAGCAGTTTTCAATCCAGGATGGGACAAAGAGATAATCTAAACAAACCCTGCTAGACAATAAAAATAAAACAAAAAAAAAAAAATCTTGCATTTTCTGCAGGATTGCTTAAAGGAATGTCTGCACAGCTCTGCGGTTTGCGGTTGGAGCTCCAACAAAAGCATTTCAGCGAGTTGATATTTACCCAGCATTTAGCAGATCACTAAATATTATAATCCGGGATGATGCACCGCGCTTTCAGTCGAATCCACTGTGTCCACACTTGGCAGCCAACAGGAATGCGATCCTGTGAAGTCCTGCCCAGGGAATACACATTCTCATTACATCAATATCCATTCATAAACCTCCACATCGAGAGCCGTACATGTAAAAATACACAATGCAGGCATCTTTAAATGCCACGAAAACATGTGAATGTGACTTTGTGAGGTGCAAGAAATGTTAATTAGCAGCAACGACGCGACAGCTCAGACGGATTTTCATACAATTTTATTAGCAACAATGTGTCTGTTAGTTATATATTAGAAACAAGGACAGAAACATTTCTGCTGCACTGTACTGAGTCTGAAAAAACCAGCTGGATCATAAAATAAAGCGAGTAATTCAAATACTTTAAGGTAAAAGCAACACTGCATTTGAATATACACTTGTAATAATAATAATAATAATAATAATAATAATAATAATAATAATACAATTCTCTTATAAGTCTTTATGGCACTAAATTTCCTGTGCAACTGTCACATAGTTTTAGTTTCAAAAATAACAACATTGAGAACTATCGTGTGTGTCTGTGTGTATGCGTGTGTGTGTGTATTCATATGGCTATCTTTGTGAGGACCAGTTTGAGTTTTAAAGCATGGGACCGAGGACATTGTGGCTGGTCCTCAATTCCTGACACACCTTTAGATGACTTGAGGGTTGAGACTTGGTTTTTTAGGGTTAGAATTAGGCTAAGATCAGGGGTAAAGGGTTAAGACTAGGGATTTAGCTGCGATGGTTAAAGTTCAGGGGTAAGGGGCTACAGAATGCATCACGTCAATGAGTGTCCTCGCAAAGTTAGATCTACAAACGTGTGTGTATTGTGGCCTACTGTATTTGCAAGAAAGCACATGTCACAAGAGGAAAAACTTAAAAATCACTCACTGCTTCACCTTTCGGGAAATAGATGAGCGTGATAAAAATCAACAGAGAGACAGAAAAAGAGAGAGAGAGGAGGGTACAACGGCATTTACCATCCATTTGAGAGAGACAGAGGGGCGGCGGGTGGGTCCAAGAGGGGCAATCCCATCAGCTTCAAGCCCCTCACACAACCACCAGCATTTCCTCTTCTGAAATCAAGCAGTAAATCATTTCACTCATTAACTGTGTGTCCATAAAACTCCACCGCTGCTGCTGCTGCTCCTCCGGTCAGAATATCAGCCTTTCAGCCGGGCCGGTCAGCCAAGCGCGGAAAATAAAAACAATCCCAAGAAGGAACTCTTTGAGTACCTCAGAGCGAGAGCACATATTCCTCAGTCCATCGAGTCGAGAGAGGAGAGAGACCGAAGCGCATGTTATGGCCTGTTAAATATTTATAGATGTGCCTTTAAAGGTGAATCTTTAGCCCAAGATATCCATATATCAACAAATCAGAGACAACACAAGGAATGTAGTGAAAAGTCCACAAACTGAAACTTCAGCTAAGTCCTACACTGGAGATCACATCGTAAAAACATTTCGCCCGTCCGACCGCCGCCTTCCATTCGAGTCTGCGTTATAGCTTTAATCAGCAAAATAAACATTTACAAAATAGTTGCAAATCCACTTTGTCATATAATCTGTTTGGGTCATTCTTTGCATCGACATGGATTTTAGGGTAAAGTTGCACATGGGAAAAAAAACAATACAATCCCTTCACCCTTTACAAGAAATGTTATTGCAACCCACCTCTGGGGTTTATTATACATAGGGATGACAGATTGTGTTCAGGTGTATGGAATAAAAACTCTGGTATAACAACTGATCGAGATACACGCACACACATGCATGCCGGTAAACTCACATACAGTATATGCACACAAATGCAATAACCCACTTTTGGCACCTAGTCCAACCCTGCCTGCAAGAACACGGAGGTGTTTCTCTTCTCAAGTGTAGAATACCTTATATACACTGTGTGTTGTCAGCTCAGAGAAACCGGCCTCCCATCAAACTGGAGACGTCTACGAAAGGATGTGGATAACAAGCAGGAATTTCCATCTTCTGCGAGCCCTTATTTTATAGGTCTTAAAATATCGTGGCCTAGGTTAGGTCTACGTAAAATGTATGCAGCTAAAACATGACACCCCCTCTTCCTCCTCTCAGCTGGTTATGAATGATGTTTCATCCTATCTGTGTGTGGGGGAATGGACGGATCATCCCATCGTAGAAGAGGGAAACACTGGACTTCTCCTAATCATATTTTGCATGTAGCAGCTCTGGAAAAGAGAAAATCCCTTCTGATTATGTCATTTTGAAATGGCAGAAATCTGCCCGTCTTTCAGGCCATGGGTGAGAAAGTAGGGCTACACAGACTTTATCAAATTGTAAAACAAATTCCATTCATTTCTTTAAAAAACAAAACGATTATTCAAAACAAAACAAGTTTATGTAGTTGATAATTTACCATTTTTTAAATACTTTTAAATACTCTATAATGGCCCAAGTTTAAGGTCATGGACCTGAGCATAGTACCTTTGAAAAAACTGTCCTGAGAGCCATCTGAGTCCTCCATTCTGCAAGAGGTGAGTAGAATGAAACCAGACTACATCAGACTAAACTGGTCAAGATGACAAAAACACAGTCTGACTCCAGTCCAGTCCTGCCTAGGTCATTCCAACTCATTTAAGCATCAACTTGCGATGAGTTTGAACGTCACTCAGCTAAACATCGGTGCTGATGCTACAGCTGCGCGTGAACATGTCTCTCATGGTGACCGACCGGGCAAGGTTTGGTTTACGGTAGTTTGAAATGTTTACAGGCACTGGCAGGTCCAGGTCTTGCTGCTGGACGCTGCGGTAGCTGATCCGGTCGCCTCCATTCCTCAGCCCGTCTGGTTGGTGGTGTATCTGTGGCTGAGGAGGCTGGAGGTAGAAAGGCAGCTCATAGTGTGTACAGGACGGACAGAAGGTCTGCGATCGAGTCAGTTTCCTGGCCAGTGGAGGGGTGGAGAAAAGGGCCGGGCCATTTGGGATGGAGGAGGCGGCGGCCGTTGCCGCCACAATGTTGTGATTGGAGTGCACCGGCGGGAGGCGGGACGTGACCGCAAAGTCTGGCTCCTCCTCCTCCGACTCCGACTCTTCCTTCTTACAGCAATAATACTGGTGGTGGGAGTCGGGCAGGGAGATCAATGATGGGAGAGAAAAGGGAGAGAAGGTCAGAGAGAAAAATACCAAATGATTTAAAATGTTGCACAAAAACCTATCTGCACTTCACTCCACTTTCTCATCAGGTGTTCTTTAACCCAAATGTTTACTGCAGTAGAAAAGGACAACATGAAGTCAAGCAGGTTTTTATTGCTAATTATTTTTTAACTGTGCCAAATATCTACAGTTTGCACAGACTTGTATACAGACTCCACTTTCCAGCAGAGGATGTGTGGCTGCTATATATGGCCCAGGAAAATATAGCTTTCAAATTAATTCCTGGCTTCTCGCCAACTAATGTTAAGCCATAATTTGGGGATTACTTTGATCCTAAGAACTGTCATCAGCTCAGAGTGGAAAGCATCTTCTAATTTCCACTGTAGCTATGTTGCCTTGTTTCCAGACGATCTTGTGTAAATGAACTGCATTTATATAGCGCTTTTATCCAAAGAGCTTTCCACCTTGACTCTGACTCACCTATTCAATCACATTCAAACACTTTGCACAAACACCATCCATATACCTGGCCTCACAATCCAGAGGAATTCAATGCTCAGTGTTTTGCTCAAGGGCGACAGAGTCAGTGTTAAATGTTCCATATTGTGCATCTTTTCAGCAAATTAATAAAAGCCTCACATCTCTAGAATGTACCTTTCAATTTCTCAGTTCAAAATACTGCAAAGATGATTAATTTTACCATGACTATAAAGTTTCTGGTTTTAGTCCTGTTATGAAGGGGCTGTTTCAGAGTCGGTACATTAAATGTAGCAGAGCTGCTGCTTGTCCCCTTCAGAAGGAAGACTCTCTGCGTTTGTGATTAACAGCGTGGACCAAAAGAGCTGAACACGACACCCGACACAGACATGACAGGACTTTCTATCGCCTCTTTTAGTTTGAGCGATGCTTTTACGTGACAATATTTCCTAATTCACAGCACAGATGTTCCTAAGTTGTGTGTATGGTGAGTCACTATTTCATTCCCCAGCTGGCACCAAGGAATTTACTTTTGATGTGGGGACGTCCCCATCCAAAATAAAAGTAATCCACTTGGTTTTCAGTTCCTCAGATGCTGGAAGTGCATGTAAGCTCTTGTGTTCATTCTTGCAACCATCAGCAGAAGATTTGTTGAGCTAGCTGAGACATTTTAGAGTTAGCAGAAGCAGCTCTGGAAGGTAAACAAACCTGAGGCACTGAGAGGAAGCTGCTCATTCTGAACGGCTCATCTGGCTCACTTATAGTTTGAGCTATTGATTCCTCAGTTGGAACATATCATGTTAGTAAAGTTCTTATTGGCTTCTCAAGTTGGGGGGCTTGACAAATGTCTTCATATCTCAACAGTTTGTCCTTTACACCTCCAACTTTAACCACAAAACACAATAAAACTGGATTTTCCCCATAGGAGATCTTTAACATCAGTCTATAAGGCCGCTGAATTTTTGAATCTTTATATGTCAAAGATTACAGGAAACCTTTTATATGGATGATAGTGGACAACTACGTCAGTCACCTTTTTTTCCTTTTTGCATAATGTTAAACCAAATTACTCGTCGTAATGTGTAAAAACTTCCAGAGCAGTTCACTCCACCGGCAATCACCAGCCCAGTCTGTAGCATTAAACAACTTCCTGTCCAGTTTTTTTTCTTACAGTTTCCCCTCTCAGTGTCCCCATGTAAACTGTGGGCAAATCAGACTGAGTTAACTCTACCTTTAAAAGTCAATGCAGGAAAAATACTTCGCGACAATCTCTTTTAATGTTTCGAACAGGATGAGTTTCTGGAGCATAACTTTCATAAATACTCCAAGGAGCTCTCAAAAATGAGTTTAGGAAAGAATATGAACTTTTTGATGAAATTAATATTCATATATTTATATATATTTATATATTCATAAAATAAACATTTTCATGTCCCTGGACTAACAGAACTTGATTTAAGCTCTGGTGGCTGGTGGTTAGGAAATGGATTTTGTGTAAACAGAAGATAAAGAAATCACAGAACTTTACATACAGTTTACAGGATTAATCAGACTCCTTCACTTTTTGTGTACGTTGTCACGTTAATTTAACTGTAACATCAATCTACAAGAAGGGCTTTGGACAGGGAGGTGGCCAAGAACCCAACAGTCACTCTAACCGAGCCTAAGAATTAATCTCTAAAAACGTGAAAACCTGCCAGAAGAATGACCATCTCAGCCGCATTTCATCAATTAGGCTTTTACACTAAAGCATTTAGATCGTAGCCACTTTGTCCTTTAAGTGCTGTTTGGCAAACTCAAGCATTTTACACACAGAGAGTGTGAAGAAAAAAACATTTTGTGGTCTGTTGAGACAAAAATTTGGCCTTGAAGCACAACATCTGATAAACAACACCTGGTAATACTATCCCTGCATGGTGGTGGCATCATCATGCTACGGCGGTGCTTCTTAGCAGCAGAGACAAGTATGCAACCAAATGAAGAGAGCTCTTTGAGGAAAACCAGCTTCAGAGTGCAAGTGATCTGTTACAGGGGCAAACTGGAGGGAAAAAGGGCAAGTTTTATTAATTTAAAGACAAGTGAAGGGATCTGATTACTTTATGAAGTACTCTGAAGCACTTTCTGAAGGACATGTTAAATTTTGTTTTTAACCTTTTTCTGAACATCAACACTAAAGATAATGATGGTTTCCCTTCTGCCCACAGAACACATGAAGGTTAATTGCACATTCTCTGATAATACCTGTAAGTATTTAAATCTGTAGCTTGCCATACAACTTCAAGCTGATCTCAGCCCTGCTACAAACCACTTTGGTCTGAGTGGCTGATTTCTAAAGTTCAATCTCAGTGTAATACCATAGATTTTTATTTTTACAGTTTGTACTGCTACACAAGATTAAACAAATTGGGTGGAAGTTCAAGAAGAAGTCTAATATTTTGGGAAACATGTCAGATTTCTGATGGAGCATTGACAATTAGAAGACTATTGTGCCTTTAAGTTTAAAATAAGGCCATAACCATCAGCTGGTTAGCCGAGTATGAAGACAAAACAGCTCACTTAGCTTTATGAAATGATAACAATGGCCCTTAATCAGTATCTATCAAAGCTGGTGCAAAAAACCACATTGCAGACATGTGTGCTTTCCATTGTTAGGTTATATTATGTTCAATGTCTTGGCTCTGCAGAAAAATGCTGGTTCCAGCCAAGAAACAGATCTATTAAAGCAAAGTCCTGCTTTTACATTTTTTTTGTGTCTTTAAAAAAAACAGGACATAGCATGTTAACTGCAGCCTTCTATTTAATGGACAGGTATGAGAATGGTATGAATCTTCTCATTAACTGTCGGCCAGGAAGCAAATAACCATTAAACCATTCCTTTAAGAAAATGACGTGAATATAAGAGGTGTAGGTTCATCTATCACCTGATTTGTTACACACTCTGTACGTCAAAACGATTTGTGATGCTTTTTTTTTTCTCGCAAGGCCAGGCAGTGGAATTATTCCAGGGGATTACATTAGTGTAACATTGGCTATACAGTATATGTAAAACAGAAATAACCCCAGACGCCGTCATAGTAAAACTGCAGTAATCCTCCCCAGTGGTGGTATTAGAGCAATGTTTCAATCTAAGTGGAGTTTGTCAAGCATGAAAACACAAAGCAGTTCATTTCATCTAATTCCATTTACATTTTGTTCCTGCGGAGCGCAGAGCCCCGGCCGAGGCCACTGATCTGACTTTCAGAGCACAGAAAGACAGACAGCATGATGACTTTTTAAAAATCTTACCTCAGCGTGATTTCCTTAGTAGGAAGTGGAAGTGAACTGTGCAACACGGCTAATGTGGGATCAGGATTAAAGCGTGTGCTAAACTTTAAGACTTTGTAGAAAGGGATGGGCAAGGAGAGCTAACACATGTCTATTTTGGCCTGCTGGTGTGAAATTAAAAGTATTTGTGAGTGTTTTTTTTTCTCTTCATAGTCCTGCAGCAATCTTAGATATTCTTTTCTACTAGCTTCAACACATTCACCTCATGTTGGGATCTCTCTCTGATTGGATGACCAGCAGACTTGAATCCAAAGCTATAATCAAGAACTATTCACAGCGCTAAGTGCTGTTTTTTTTTTTTTTTACCCTATTCTACTTTTGTAAATCACTGCATGTTCTTTTCTTAGCCGTGCTGGTGGCATGGTTACAGCATGTGGATTGTAATGTCAGCCGCTGCTACACTGATTACTACGACATTTTTGCAAAAACATTCAGGTTCACATTTGTGGGTTTTGAGTGAAATGTATCGAAGAACCAACAGACTACAGATAAATCTCATGCACACCTTCATGTACCCCCTCAGAGTGAACTGCAATCACCTTGAAGTCCCCGTTACATTTCGTCTCGCTTAGAATTTCATTTTAGTTCAATCCCTTGATCTACAGCCAAATACCTACAAAGCTAATTACTTCTAACAACCATCAAGTTCAGCTGTGCTTTGTGCAGCCCTCTGAACCTTCATCTGGGTGCTCCCTCTCACATTTTTACTTACTGTAGGCTCATTTTTCATTGCAACATAAAGTCCTGCAGCTCGATGGAGAAGTCAAAACCATGGCTTGAAACCGACAACTACAAAAAATGTCTCTTGTGCAGTCGGATAAGTTTGTTGTGGCAAAAAAAAAAGAATTTTAATTTCTTGGATCAGGGATTTTACAACAACAAAAATGAATCTTACAGAATCTAG